AAAAAGTAATAAGGTACTTAATTTTAATAAAAAAAGAAAAAAGAAAAGAAATATTAACTACATTCAGTTGTGTTATTAACACACACCCTTTTAATGTAATGTGGGATCATATCAGAACCAAATGTAAGATTTTCTCTTCCTAAAAATGGGCTTATTTCCTAAGCATTTCCACTAAAAAGACTTGGAAGGTATGACAACATGGTATCAATAAACACTCAAAAAATTCAATTTCCCACTAAAGAAATCAAGGTTTTTGGAGAAATAACTGATTCCAGATTTTAAGCAAGATAATTACAAGTTAAGCCTGGGATATCTTATGTATAGAGCACAGTGGATACAAAAACCTAGATTCTTGTCAAAGAGGACACAGGAGCCATTTTCGAAGGAACTTCATAGTACAATTTTTGCGTCTAAAAGATGACTTAATGGAATGAAGCACAATATATTTTTACAATCCTGGAGTAAATATGATACTTAAAAAAGGAAATCTCTATTTCATAGCCCCTAATGATCTAGGGCAACTGCAATCACTGTTGCTAAAACCATTCCGTGAACCCATACTTATCTTTAGGGCATTGTATTTATGACATATATATTATGATTTTGTACTATAAAAGTAGGAATATACACAGCCACTATATATTTTCTTGCCAACCAATATCTGACCTGAACTAATGGAAGCCTCTAGACCCAGCCCTCCAGGTCTTAGACACCTGGGCTCAGGAGGCACATCTAAATAAAACCATCATAACAAATAGCAAACTTTCAAAATGGGGAAAATTCTACGAAAAGGAGTTTTCTCAATGAATAAAAGGTCTTGAAAGGGAATAGCTGGGGAAAGTATAGATTAAGAGATTTACGAACCTGTGAATTACCAAAACCATAAAACGGTTTATTTATTTATTATTTTTGAGCAGAGTCTTCACTCTGTTGCCCGGGCTAGAGTGCGGTGTCAGCCTAACTCACAGTCAACCTCAAACTCCTGGGTCAAGCAATCCTTCGCCTCAGCCTCCCGAGTAGCTGGGACTATAGGATTGCGCCACCATGCTGGCTCAATTTTTTTCTATAATTTTATTGGCCTATATTTCTTTCTTATTTATATAGAGGACGGGATTCCTCTTGCTCAGGCTGGTTTCCAGAACTCCTGACCTCAAGCAATCCGCCCGCCTTGGCCTCCCAGAGTGCTAGGATTACAGGCGTGAACCTACGCCAGCTCAAAATATATCTTATTTATTTTTTATTTATTTATTTTGAGACAGAGTCCACTTTGTGCCACAGGCAGAGTGAGTGTCGTGAAGTCAGCCTAGCTCACAGCAACTCAACTCCTGGGCTCCAAGCATTTCCTCTTGCTCAGCCTCCAAGTAGCTGGGACTACAGGCAATGTGCCCCCATGCTTGGTGATTCTTTCTCATATTTAGTTGGCCAATTAATTTCTTTCTATTTATAGTAGAGACGGGGTCTCGCTCTTGCTCAGGCTGGTTTCCAACTCCTGACCTTGAGCAATCTGCCCTCCTCGGCCTCCCAGAGTGCTAGGATTACAGGCGAGAGCCACCGCGCCGGGCCGCAAAACTGTATACTTTAAATCAGTAAGTTGAATGGTGTGTGAATCAAATCTCAATAAAGCTATTTAAAAAAAACTTTAAGAGACCAACATATCAACCAAAAGCAACATGTGGACCTTGCCTAAATCCTGATTTCAACAAACCAATTGTAAAAAGACATTTTTTAAGGCAATCTTGGAAAAATGAACTCAGACTGCATACCCAATGATAATAAAAAATATCTGTTAATTTTGGGATGGGGGGAATGAATGGTATTGGGGTTAAGTTTTTCAAAAATTTAATTTTCTCTCAGACATACATAATGAAGTACATAATAAAATATTTGAGTGAAACGATACGATTTGCTTTAAAATATTCCAGGAAACAAAAATAAGAGTGCATGAGAGGTGAATGCATGAGAATGACAGGATGCTGATAACCTGGTTAGGCTCAGGGATGACACTTGGGAGTTCACAGAATTATCTCTGCTTTTAGGGATGCTTGAAAATTTCCTTACGAAAAGTGGAAATAAAAGTGGTAAGGCAACTATCAGAGAGGTGTGGCTGGACCACTGTGGAGGGTCAGGAGAGCATGCTTGAAAATTTTTATAATAAAGTCTTGATAACAAAGCACCTTTGTGTGTTGCTAATGGTGGGGAGAAAAAGAGATTTTACTTTTTACTTTAAGCACTATTGTTTTCTTTTCTTTTTTAAGAGGCAGCAATTGCTCTGTCATCCCATCTGGAGTGCAGTGACACAATTAGAACTCACAGTAACCTCAGATTCCTGGGCTCAAGTGATCCCCCTGCCTCTACCTCTCGAGTACTTGGGAATACAGGTGCATGGCACCACACTTGATTAATTCATTTATTGATTTTTTTAAGAGGCAGGGTCTCACTATGTTGCTCAGGCTGGTCTTGAACTCCTGGCCTCAAGCAATCCTCCCACCTCAGCCTCTCATAGTGCTGGGATCACAGGCATGGGCCGTCACACCCTGCCTACCTTTTTCTTTTTACAAAGATCACATATTGCTCTTGTAATAGAAATATGTATTTTTTATAAAAAAAGAGTTAAGTAATGAATTTTGCCTCCATAACATATTATGGAAACTTTGCAAGTTTCATATAACAATTTTTAAAAATCTTACCTGAGAAATGTTCTTGGAGGCCATTGTTTGCAAAAGGGCCCTCAAAGCACTACTTATGGCTTCTAGAAAGTCAGCATGTTTAGCAAAATCTAAAATACAAAAATGAAATATAAAATTTGTCTTTATCCAAGATACACTATTTTGTAGAAAAAGAAAATAGAATCAAAACAAAACCATGTTAAATGTTAATATATGCTATTATTAATAAAAACACTGGACATTTAAGCCAAAACATTTAGTTAACAGCCCCCTGTATGTAATATACCCATGTCTGAAAGTGCCAAGGCTGCCCTTGGAACCCAGCTATTATGTTATGAGTAATCCCAGGTCACATGAAAAGGTCACTCATTCTGCCTGACAACAAGGGGGTGGGGGGTCTACAGACGGTCCTCGACTTCCAAACATTGGGTTTTTATTTGACTCACACTTTAACACATGGTAAACCGTAGCTAGCTTTTGTAGACTGGATTCAGTCTTTCATAGATCTCCATCACAGTGGTGGGCAGACCTATGGCTGAGCCATCTGTAAAATCAGAGTGCCTCCTTGCCAACTCTAGCCCACTGCCAACCCAAGAACGGCTGCTTGTGCAGGGCCAAAGCACGATGCCTCCATGGTTTCCACAAACCCACCTTCCCCACCTACTCCTGCTCCTCATCTCCACTCTTTTATTACTGTCCCTTTTTCCCATATAGGACAAAGAGAACAGCAGCAATAAACCACAACACCAGCACAGTCATGCACAAAGGTGGGGGTCACCCAGCTGAGTTGACTCCTTAACTTTTATGGGAGGGAAAGCTATTCACTTTGTGTTTGGTGGATTGTATTTTCCAAAACTGGCTGCAGCAACCTTTGCAGTCCTGTATGCTCTTCCAGAAGCCCTTCCACTTCCCATAAAGATGTGCAGTCTATTTCTCAACTCCTTGCATCTGGATGGGACTCTGCCTTCTTGAAGCAATAGAATAAGAAGTGGTAGCCTAGGTCATAAAAGGCAGCATGACTCCACTCCTGACTCATGCGTGCATGCTCTTTTCTCTCTTGACTTTTGCCCTTGGAACCCAGCCACCATGTGACAAGGAAGCCCAGGTCACATGAAGGGGTCACGCATGGGTGTTCTGCTTGACAACCCCTGCACCAATTGCCAGACATGTGTGGGAATAAGAATTCAGATGGTTCTGGCTCACAGCCTTCAAGTTTTCCAACAGAGGCCCTAGATTAGCATTTCTCAACCTCAGCACTATTGAAATTTTGTATCAGATCATTCTTTGCTGTGTGTGTGTAGGGGTCTCCTGTGCATTGTGGGATGTTTAACAGCATTCCTGGCCTATACCCTCTAGACATCCGCAGCAACTTCGAAGTTGTAACAACCATAAATATCTTCAGACATTGCCAAATGTCCATGGGGGAGGCAAGGGGAAAAATTGCCCCTAGTTCAGAACCACTGCTCTAGACATTGTGGAGTAGAGACAAGCCATATCCACTGTGCCTTGCCTAAATTCTTGACCTAAAGAAATTGTAAGAGGCTGGTGTGAGGCTCATGCCTACAATCCTAGCATGTTGGGAGGCCAAGGTAGGCGGATTGCTTGCGCTCAGGAGTTCAAGACCAGCCTGAGCAAAAGTGAGACCCTATTTCTACTAAAAATAGAAAGATTAGTGGGAGTTGTGGTGTCCACCCATAGTCCCAGCTGCCTGGGAGCCTGAGGCAAGAGATCACTTGTGCCCTGGAGTTTGAGGTTGCAGTGAGCTATGATGACACCACTGCACTCCACCCAGGGCAACAGAGCAAGACTGAAGAAAGAAAAGAAAGAAAGGAAGGAAGGAAAGAAAGAAAGAGAAAGAAAGAAAACAAATTGTGGGAAATAATAAATGCTTACTGTTGTTTTAAGCTACAAACTTTTGAGGTAATTTGTTAAGGAGACACCTTGGCTTCCTGTCCTAAGGTGCCTGGGATCCAATAGCAGTTCTGGTCTTTAGGTTGCCTGGGTGAGAGAGAGAGAGGCAGTTTTTGCACGAATTTTAATCAAGGCTTATTTTACTTTTGGCTCTCTCATTTTCAGATACATGTTATCTATACATTCAGAAACATGTACAGGAGAAACTATACATGTTTCTCCTACAGGAAAATAGGAGATTTCCTGCAATTATCACAGAACAGATAATAGGATGGCTTTATGATTTAGACAGATCTGGGATGGAATTCTGTCATTGACATTATATGACCCCTCCTTTCTTCATTTTAGTCTCTTCTCAAATGTTACCCCTTCTCAGAGAGGCCTGTCCACATAAACCTGCCCAATGGAGCACTTCATACCATTCTGCTTTTACGCTTTTCTTCATAGCCAAAATCACATAACATGTTTCTAAATACCAGCCAGGCACAGTGGCACATGCCTGTAATCCCAGCTACTCAGGAGGCTGAGACAGAAGAATTGCTTGAGCCCAGGAACCTGAGACCAGTCTGGACAACATAGCAAAACGTCATCTCAAAAAAACACAAAACATCTATGCTAGAATGCAAGTGCATAAACATGGTGACTCTATCTTATTCATGCCTGTAACCACAGGACCCAGAAAAGTGTTTGACACAGAGTAAGTGTTCAATAAATACATGCTAAAAGAATCAATGACTTTGAAGAAGTTTCTTAGCCTCTTTAAATCTCAGCTTCCTCATCAGAAAGATAAATAATGCTGATCTGATAAAACCTGGCACTAACAGGCACTCAAAAATTGGTGTGAACTTCTTACTGTTAAACTTCAAAAAGTTATTATATAGGTTTTGAAATGTATATCTGATTAAGATTTAAGTGTAGCCCTAGAAATTCATGAACTGCACATAAAACAGGTGACTCAAAATGTCTTTCCTCTCCACAACTGTGCAGTATACAAGAACTTGTGGCATGTCTAAATGTAGGTAAAGCCCAGCCGAGAATCTTATTCCCTGTAAAACTAAGTTTTGTATATGAAGGAGAAATCAAGACATTCTCAGATAAGCAAAGACTGAGGGAATTCACCAAGACAAGAGCAGCCCTTCAAGAAGTACTCAAAACAGTGTTACCCACGGATCAGCACAATAAACACTCACGAATGTAAATCTACTCAAAGCTAAAGATAAAAGCCCAGATACCACAATGGCTCAAGAGAGAAAACAAAGCAACAAAGTTCAACCCAACATAATGAACAAAAATCTGCCCCACCTATCAGTTATCTCAATGAATATGAATGGCTTGAACTCCCCACTCAAGAGACATAGGCTGGCCAAATGGATTAAAAAAAATACAAGCCAAGTATCTGCTGCCTTCAGGAAACACATCTAACCTGCAAGGATGCAATTAGACTAAACATAAAGGGGTGGAGAACAATATTTCAAACAGAAGCCAAAAAAAAAGCTGGTGTGGTGGTGTTGATTACAGATAACTTAGTTTTTAAATCAACAAAAGTAATAAAAGACAAAGAAGGTCACTATATAATGGTGAAGGGTATAGTTCAACAAGAAGACATAACAACTCTAAATATGTATGCACCCAACATTGGCACACCCAGATTCATAAAGCAAACTCTACTTGATCTAAACAAATGGATAAACAACACCATAATAGTCGGAGACTTTAACATCCCACTGACAGCACAGAACAGATCCTCCAAACAGAAAATCAACAAAGAAATAATGGACTTAAACAGAACTCTAGAACAAATGGGCCTGACTGACATTTACAGGACATTCTACCCCAAAACCACTGAATATGTGTTCTTTTCATCAGCTCATGGGTCATTCTCTATGACTGACTGTATCCTAGGACACAAAGCATGTCTCAAACAATTTTAAAAAATAGAAATTATACCATGTATCTTTTCAGATCACAATGGAACAAATGTAGAAATCAACCCTAACAGGAGTTCTCATTCTACACAAAGTCATGGAAACTAAACAACCGTCTGCTGAATGATCACTTCATAAACGAGGAAATCAAGATGGAAATCAAAAGATTCTTTGAACTAAATGACAAAGGTGACACAAGTTACCAAAACCTGTGGGACACAGCTAAAGCAGTCCTGAGAGGAAAGTTTATTTCCATAAATGCCTACATCCAAAAGTCAAAAAGATCACAAATAGACAACCTAAGGAATTGTCTCAAAGAGCTGGAAAAAGAAGAACAGACCGACCCCAAACCCAGCCGAAGAAATGAAATCATTAAGATCAAATCAGAACTAAACGAAACTGACAACAGGGAAACTATATGGATGATTAATAAAACAAAAAGTTGGTTCTTTGAAAAAATAAGCAAAATTGACACACCATTGGCTAGACTAATGAAAAGCAGAAAAGAAATATCTCTAATAAGTTCCATCAGGAGCAATAAAGGAGAAATTACAACTGATGCCACGGAGATACAAGATATAATTTATGAATACTACAAAAACCCCTATGCACACAAACTGGAAAATGTGTAGGAAATGGACAATTTCTTAGAAATACACAGCCTCCCTAGGCTCAACCAGGAAGAAATAGAAGTCCTGAACAGACCAATATCAAGCACTGAAATTGAAAGAGCAATAAAAAATCTTCCTAAAAAGAAAAGTCCTGGACCAGATGGTTTCACACCAGAATTTTACCACACTTACAAAGAAGAACTGGTGCCTATCCTGCAGAAATTATGCCACCACATTGAGAAGGATGGAATCCTCCCCAACACATTTTAGGAAGCGAACATATAACCCTGATACCAAAACCAGGAAAGGATGCAACAAAAAAAGAAAACTACAGACCAATATCTCTTATGAATACAGATGCAAAAATTCTCAACAAAATCCGAAAAAGTAATAAGGTACTATAAAATTTTTAAAATAAAAGAAAAGAAAAGAAATATTAAATTACATTCAGTAGTGTTATTAACACCAATACCCTTTTTAATGTAAGTGGGACATATCAGAACAAATTTAAGATTTTTCTTTCCTAAAAAAGCTTATTTCCTAGCTATTTCCACTAAAAAGACTTGAGTAATGACAACATGGTATCAATAAACACTCAAAAATCAATTTCCCACTAAAAAGAATCAGGTTCTTGGAAAATAACTGATTCCAGATTTTAAGCAA